TCTCTTACAGTATCACGTTATCACAAAGCAGAAAAATATTCTTTTCTGTTGCTTTAGCTACAGAATCTTTGGTTAACATTTTTGGCTTCTAGGCAGGCGATATGTGAGATTAGAATAACATCATCAATTATGAAGCCGAGAAAAGAACTGTTTCAGTGATATTTCACAGCAGATGCCAAAAAAATTGGTTTTTTTGAAGCCAACAACAAATGAATACATTCTTGATTATTTTACAGGCTATAAACTATATAGATACATAGACAATGAATTAACTTTATGAGGAAAAACTCTTATTAGTTATAAAAGAAGATCAGCGCCACAAGTGTTGTTGAGCAGAAAAATAAATATTTTAGCAGAAATACGAGACAGCAAAGAAGTCTTAGTGTGTCAGCAATATCAAAGTAGTCAGCTAACTAAAACTGGCAACGAATATATTAGAAGTGTTAACAAAAAATTGTTAAACTAACTGCAAGTCTTATTTCCAGCTAAATTGGTTAATGAGAAAACGAATGAAAAGAAGATAGTATAAAAAGTGTAAAATTTTGAACTAATACTTTAATATCTGTATCCGTTCTTGAAAATAAAACAAAAGAAAAAACTACCAAATATTTTGATACATTTTTGGTTTTCATAACTGCAAAACTACAGCTGAGATGCTGAAAAAAAACATCAACGTAGGTGTACCAAATAGTAACCTAAAACTGCAGACCAGTGAATCACTTAGGTTTTCAGTGTGGAAACGACTATAACATTAATTTAAGCAGTAAATCAAAAAGGTATTGTAATTGGGTGCTATTAATGATATTTCTCAATAGAAAAAAGGCCCATAAATTTGATTTAAAACTGTAAGTTTACAGACGGTTATTAATTTGGAAAAAAAACATTATCTAACAGATGTCTGATGTAACATTTTTAGCATTTTCTTTTCCCTGCTTTCTCGACGAAATGCTAAATAACCGGTTTTCTTTTCTTTTAAAAACTAACTTTTTTAGTCTTAACTTAAGTTTAGAAAAATGTGAAACAGACACTGAACTTTTATTGTTGCGCAGAAAATAAGATGCTCAAAATTAACAGTAGTGACTGAACAGTCAATTAAGAAAAAAGAACAAAAATAATTAATGATTAAAGTTTTCAGTTAAAATATATGTGTTTTATGACCAATACTAAAACATGACATAAAAAAATGCTCACTGTTCTGCTAACCAAAGGGAAAAGAGTGAAGAAAAGGTCAATGTAGTTTATAAGATTGAAAAGTTCTGAGAACACTCAAGGTCTTACAAGAAGGATGCGGTCAAACAGAAGGATAGGAAGACGATGCCAGTGCAGAAGAAGACGGGGGAAGAGGTGAATGATGACGAAAAACAAGGAGTTTTTCTGAATAGTCAATCATTTCCATAATTAACCATTTTTTGACTGTAAAATTCAAACGAGTAATTCATTCAGTCTTAAGAACCCTAAACTTAAGCACAGTATTACCTTAGAAAATGAACAGATCTATTTTTTGTTCTATTATTCTGTTCTTATGAAAAGCCAACAGTTTTTGAGTGTTCCCCATTTTTTTTCTCTTTTTAGCATTGTACTTTTTAACCAATAATTGACTATCGAAAAATTTTTTTAGTAATTTTAACTAAAAAGCGCAAAGAAAATCTTTTTTTTTTTTTGTATGTATTTGTAAAGAATAAAGTTTGATGGTCTCATATAAACATCATTGATATATGTCTAAAATAAAGTGGGAAAAACAGAAAATAAAAGAACTAAAACACTGAACAATTGTAAAGCCGTAAAAAGATAAATTGCCAAAAC